AGGTGTTTATAGGATGCCTGAAGGTACTTGGAAGGGGAGTATAGGATGATCTAAGACAAGGTGCATACATGACTGGATACCCCAATATGGTGTTCCTCCAAAGAATCTAATGGGCCAGTTTCTCTCCATCTTTTAGATCTTAGTTTAAACATCATTTCTTCCAGGAAGCCTTCCCCAACCCCTCAGTACTGGGTTGAGGGGCCCAGTTCTGTGCTTTCATTGTTCCCTGTTCCTCTGTATTAACACACTTATTCCACACTGTGATGATGATTCTCTTGATTAATGATTTATCCTCCTAGATCAACTGTCAGCTCTGGGAACCAGGGGCCAGTCTATCTTGGTCACCAATGAATCCCCAAGATCTAGCACAAGTGCCTAGCAACTCTGGCTTTCCATGAACACCTGCTGAATGAATGAATGCTTTAGGCAAACCCCTCAACTTCTCCAAGCCTCTGGTTCCTTATAAAATAGGGACTCATAGCACCTCTTTGTAGGATAACTGTAAAGATGAGTTGAAAGCAGTTATTATAGTATCTGACACCAAGTAAGTGTGCAATGAACAGTTGTTTTTTTTTTTTTCTTGTAATTGCTATTAACAGTTATACAAACTCAGGAGATTCTGGTCTCTCTTTTCTTCTTCTTCTTCTCCTCCTCCTCCTCCCCCTCCTCCTCCTCCTTCTTCTTCTTCTGCATCTTCTTCTTTTTTCCTTCAGTACTGGGGATTGAAACCAGGGGTGCTCTACCACTGAGCAATATCCCTAGTCCTTTTAAAAGATTTATTCTTGAGATAGGGTCTTAATAATTTGCAAGGCTGGGCTTTAATTTGGGATCTTTCTTCCTGAGTTGCTGGAATTATAGGCATGAGCCACCACACCCAGCCTAGCTCTTCTTATCTTTGGTTTTGTGTTAAGTGATCTTTCTAAAACACATATCTAGCTGTGTCTCCCTTGGCTCTGAAAAACCTCAATAATTTGTTCCTAACTTTCTTTTTAGTCGCCATCTCCCATGTTTCCCCCTCACCCCCAATTCCACTTGCACCAAACTACTGACCACTCTGTAATGCACATTTACCCCCCCAACCTCAACTCAGATCACCCCCTCCTCTTTCTTCAGACCCTGTTCTGTCTTCAAGACACATCTTAATGTCATCTCCTGTCAGGCTCACAAGGCTTCCTCAGCACAGTGTATAGCCTGCCTTGTACTTATGAGAATTGAGTGACAGCCCATCTCCCCTGCTAGAAGGGACAGTAGGTACCACCCAGTGCTCAGGTCTGCAACACCAGCAAGCAGCAGTCTGTGACGTGGGAGATAGCTCATTCAAGCAGGAACTATTGAACTGAATTGAACATCTATCTGACCTAAAGAAACAAGTTCCAGATCAAGAATACCTGAAATCTTACCCTCAAGTATGTCAAAAAGTTGGTTGATGGGGAAAGGAAAGAGCAGGTCTCGTGTCCCACTTTTAGGAACTGGCTTCTGAAAGGCTTCTATCCAGCCCCATAGTAAACCTGGGGTAATGACCTTAGCCTACTACAGAAGGTCAAACAGTCAGAGGAACTTCATTGTAGCTCCCCTTACCAGTACCTGGCAGTCAGGAACCCATATCTCTACCCTCCTCTGGCACTGGTGTAAGGGTCTATTAGGGGAATTATTCCAGCATCTTCCACCCAAGATCCAAGACCTTCCCAAGCTCCATTCCATGTCAAATGACTCCTTAGACTGAATGTGAAGACATTGATACGAGTCACTGAAAATACAGGCATGCACCACCATACCCAGTCCTTTAGATCTTAAAACTAGAGAATAATCTTTGCTGAATGTTCTGTCTTCAGAACCCAATGGGGTGAGGTCACAACCCCTGAAGCTTTGTTGTGTAACTCTGTGTTCCCCAAGGCTCTGGGCAGTCACTCTCTGGCCTCTTGAAACCAAAGCAATGTCCCTTCCCATCCTTTCAAACTGAGAAGGCAGCCCTAATGATCTCTGAATCTCTTTTGGTTGTTCCTCTCCTATCTGGAAGCACAATGCAGGTTTAAGCTGAATCACTGTATGGTTCTGTCCCATAGGATCTAAGAAGTCCACATTCTTCCTTCATTTTTTTTTTTTTCCTGTCTCCATCCCTTCAGTTCAAACTGAAAGTATATCCGTTGGGGTAGTTGATTACCCTCTAGGTTCACACCCACACTAATCTTATCCAAGGCTATTGCCACACCCTTGGTGTTCTGTTCTGTACATGGTTTTTAATTTTTTTTCGCAATATGAACAGTTGAGAATTTTCCAAATCTTTAAGTTCTGGTTTCTTTTTAGTTTAACAATTTCTCCCTTCCTCCCTCCCTACCTTCTTTCCTTCCTTCTTCAAATTCTGCTATGAGCCATCAGGAGGAACCAAGCCTCGCCTTTAACATTTTGCTTAAATATCTCCTCTGATGAATATCCAATTTCATCTCTTGCAAATTTCTCCTTCCACAAAATATCAGAACACAGGCTGGGAGTGTGGCTCACTGATAGAATGCTCACCTAGCCTGTGCGAAGCCCTGGGTTTGATCCTTAGCACCACATATAAATAAAGGTATTGTGTGCAATTACAACTTTAAAAATTTTTAAAAAAAATCAGAACACAAAAAGTAGCATAGTTCCTTGCCATATTATAAGAAAAATTGTCTTTTCTCCATTGTCCATACCCCTTGTTTCTGTGTGAGCCTTCATCAGAATTGCCCTTAGCATCCAAATTATTAGCATGCCCCTCAAAACTCCACCAGCCTCTATTCATTATCCAGTTCTAAAATCACTTTCAGAGTGTTCAGTATTTATTACAGCAATGCCCTGCTTCTCAGTACCAGTTTCTGTCTATAGCAAAATACCAAAAAGAAAGTGAATTAAAAACCAGATATTTATTTCTCAGTTTTGGAAGAAGTACAAGATCAAGGTGCTGACAGATTTAGTTTTAAGCAAGGGCTCTCCTGGCTTACTAAACTGCTTACTATGTTTTCACAGGGCAAAGGGAGAGAGCTTTGATCTCTCTTCCTCTTAATTATAAGGACACTCATCCAATAAGAGGGGCTCCGATCTCATCTAAACCAATTACTCTCCAAATACCATCACATTAGAGGCTAAGGCTTCAATCTATGAATTTTGAGAGAAAACATTTAGTCCAAAACAATGTCATAGAGGAAAGATTTAAAACACAGGGTATTTGTATTTGTGGGTATGGTATAACAAATCTGATTGTAAATGATGAATGTCAATTTTCTGGAGGAAGGCTGTGACAGAGGCTGAGGAAGCAGAGGAACTGTGAGAGGGAGGAGGCCCACTCTGCACCGTTAAGGCTGGGCCACAGCACAGGCCTCCTTCAGGCAGGTACACATTCATTCAGCATCTGTTAGGGATAGTTATGGCTAGTAGTGGGCAAGTGCTAGGGACTCAGAGCTGTGCAGGAGACAGTCAATGAATAATTGCATTTTTACTTGTCTACCAGATATTACGTGTGCTATTTGGTCTGCGACACCCTGCGGTTTCCCTGTCCCACTTCCCTGGCTGTTCCTATCCATTGTTTGGTTGGGGTAGGTGTGACTCCCTTTGGAGCAACTGTTTCCACAAGCCTGGGTTCTGACCCTGTAGGCTCCTACAATGTGGAGTCTCCTGCCTCACGAGCCTTTCCACTCCCAGGATGGCACTCTTGTTTGACTGTCAGTATAAGCACCTAAGCTTCCTGAGGACAAAACTGTGAACCATGGTGTCCCCAGTATCCACTGTGGCCTGCTTCTTTCAGGAGAAAGTATAATTAGTGAGTGAGTGAATGAATGACTGGTCCCTTAACATCAAAGGCATCTGTACACATGAGTACCAATGGTGGTTGGAATCATATGCTTGGGGCTTACAAAACAATAGAGAAATTCACTGCATATTCAAACACATATTCATCTGCAGACTAACAACCAGCTATTTCTTGTTCCACTGCTGAGAGAGGAACATACCCCATCATAGTCTTTTTGCTTTCTAAGATTTGCAACTTTCAAAGCTGGGCTCTAGCCAGAAGTATAAAGAGCAACAGTGCTAGGTGGCTAGGTTTGAATTTTGGCTTCACCATTGACTAGGTGGTCACCTTGTGCAAATAACATAGCCTTTCTGTGCCTCAGCTTTCCTCGCCTGTGAAACATTTTATGAGGTTGTCCTGAGGATTAAATGATAGGAACCTTGTAAAGTTGGAGAGATTGTGAACACACAAGTGCTGTACCTTACTACAGGTCCTCTCACCTCCTGCGGCCCTGCTGTGGTCCCATATAAATCTCAGTTGACTAATACGCAAAATGGGAATGATGATAATGATTGAATGAATGAGAAAGTAAAATTGCATTACAATCTGCATTATAATTTGTGTCCACCGAGTTTGTGGGACAGTGGGCCAAATCATGTGGGGATTCTAGAGCTAGCCATCCACAGCAGTGTCGCATGGTGAGGACCTTCTCTGCCCAAGAAATTCAGGAACCACTGACCAACTCAAACCCGCTAAACGCTTTTCTCTCAGAACCAGGCTGCTGTGGGTTGTCTGAATGGTCAGAACACTCTGAAGACCCAGGAAGTCCATGGAAGGATGGAGGGATCCCTATAGTAGGAGGTGGGGTGCGTGAGTCTTTGGAAACTGTAGTCTGCTTATTTCAGGAAAAAAAAAAAAGAAGAAATAAAACATGTCGCAGAGGAGGCAACCTCCGCGCGGGGAGCCGGTTATCTCCCAGCCGGCTTCCGGCTCCGATAACTGCTGGCCAGGCTCGTCGGGCGGGGTGAGCGCCCCGAAGTGGCCCGGGCCGAGGGAGCCTCTGCTCTGTCCCCGGCGCTTCGGCCGCGATCGGTGCCGGGACTCAGGCTGCGCGTCCAGCCGGGTGAAGTGGAGCCGGGCCTGCCAGCCGGCTCGCCGCGCGCCCTCCACCGGACAAAGTGGCCCAAGGCAGCCGCGAGACCCCAGAGCCCGCCCCGCCCCGTCCCTCCCCGCGCTGCCCCGCGCTTACTCTGCAGACAGTGGGCTGCGACCAGGCAGAGGGCACAGAGTCCCAGGGAGATGCTTTGGGTCTTCCTCCACCCGCACCGCAGAGGCCTCATGAGCAAGCCCCGGGTAGCACAGGCCCGGCATGGGCTTCCCGAGTGGCGGGGCGCAGCGCAGGGCCCGCCGGTGTGTGTTCCGCACTCACGCGCGCCGCTGCAGCTCCTCCCGCAGCCTTCCCTCCTGCTGTAGCTCCAGCAGGTTTTCCAGGACCAGATGCAGATGAGCTGGTTGTACTCTGGTTGAACCAGTTCCCAAGGAGGAGGGAAGGGAAAGAGGGAGGGAGAGGAGGGAGGGGGAAGAGGAAGAGGAGGAGGAGGGAGGGAGGAGGAGGAAGGGCACGAGCAATAAGAAGGCACACACTCAGAGGTAAATAATGGCGAATAATGAGCTGTCTTCTGACGTACAGGCGCCACTTTACGGGTATTAAGATCCAGCTAAGATGCTGGTGGATGGAAGGAGCGCAAGTACTAGCTGTTGCCTAAGGACCCAAAGGGACCAACTGATGGCTCCATGGGAAAAGGAAAGGCTTTTAGGAAAGTGAAATGCCAAGCTGGGGAGAGAGGGATACAGGAAGACTCAGGCTGTTCTGGGTGGTAATGATCTCTGTCCTCCATCCGTGTATCCATCCATTTATTCAGGAAATATTCACTGAGCACCTACTTATTTCACTGGGGCTGGTACATGTGGCCATTCTAGTCATTCAGAAAACATGGAATGAAGCTGAGCATGATGCTAAGTCCCAGAGATATAACAGGACAGATATGGGCACTTTTTTTTTTTTTTTTTTTTTTAGAAATTCTATCAAAGAATGGGGATTGGAAAATAAAAAAAAAAAAAGCAACTGTATATGTGGATATGTTGCTACGACAAAGAAAACCCAGAATGCTGTAGGAACTCAGAACAAAAGCAACTAAATTCCAGGAAGGATCTGTGTGTGGAAGGAGAGGGTGGATATTGGTCCAAACTAGTCATGAAATTCTATTCTACTTTGTTAAAACTAGATTTCCCAGCCTCCCTTGCATCTAGAGGTTAGCAGTATGATCCAATACTGACTGGTGATATTTAAGGGGAAGTATTTTGAGGCATTTCTGGAAGAGGTTTTGCATTCCTGATAAAAGGGACAGATAAGGCTGGGACTGCCCCTGCTTTGAAAACATTCCTTCTCTTTAGATCTGTGGCATGTTTCTTGCTTCTATAAAGTTACATGAATGAGGACAAACACTGTCAATGCTAAGTAAGAGTGGTAGAACAGAAAGAAAGACCAGAACACTGTGGTACTATCACGTACTTTCCTATATCCTTTTTGTTTTTAAGAGGTACCTTGCTCATTCCATGTGCTCCTGGTGAGGCCAACAGTAGTGATCCCTGCTGATTGCCCTACAGCGGACTTGTTATCAAAGTGTCCTCCCACCAAGCAAAGTATTTGGTTTAGTGATGGGCGGAAGGAGACACCAGAAACCTCTCTGCGAATAATATGAGGCCACTGCTGGGATTGCTAAAACCAAGGGGGCTTGAACCTGGGGATACAGGTGAAAAACCAGCCTCTACTCAGAGCAAAGCCTGTCCAAGGAAGGGACATGACCTTTGTCCTTGGTAAGACCACAGAGCACTCTTAGGCACATTCCCACCCTGCTAAGTTGTTTATCTACAAATGAGATCTGCTGCAACAGGTGTCCCTGACTCAGTCAGGCTAGGTGGGGACCCATAGCAACCCCCTAGCAGCCACCAATCAGCATGAGACTGGGAAATACCTGGGATGCCAGATGACCCTCCCAGTAGTTTATGGTGTTGGGAAACCAGGTAGTTCAACACTAACACCCCTTGGCTTAAACCAATCAGTTCAAATGAATCCCTCTCTTGTACTAACCAATCACCCCTACCCAACTTGTTCCCGCCAGTGAATGTGCTAATTATGTTTTAGAGTTGTTATTTGATTTTCCTGCAGTGTGTGATGATTTGCTAAGAGATGCTATGATGTATGTGAAGTCCCTGCCTTCTCCAAAGAATGTATAAAACTGCTGCAAACCCTGGGCTCGGGGCCTCTCAGTGTCACCAGTTGCTGTGTGCGCGTGGAGGACCGAGCTAGCTCGCAATAAACACCTCTTTGCTTCTTACATCGATCTTGGGTCTCTGGTGGTCTTTTGGGGGTCCCTAATTCGAGCATAACACTGGCAGGCCATGCCTGTCATGTGAAGGGGCCCTGGATGAGACAAACTAAGCTGGGAGTCAAGCAGAGATGTAGAGCTCAAATGACATAGTTTTAAATCTGGGATCTACATTCTTGGGTTTGCCAGTTATCTGGAGATAAATGCTCTCTTTTGCCTCAGCAAATTTAAGCTGGAATTCTATGATATAAAATTGATGTATCAAAGAATACAAAATTACAGTTAGGAAGAATAAGTTCAAGAGGTCTATTGTACAACACAGTGACTATAGTTAATGGTGATTCTGTTACTGCTGTTTACCAGTGATGAGTCCTTGCTTCCCCAGTGCTGAAGTGTAACACCAAAGAAACACGCTGAGGCAAGTTTAGAGTGGAAAGTTGAAGCTTTATTAAGGACAGCAGAAAAGACTTCTCCCTGGAGGAAGAAGGGGACCCAAGAGGTGCAATCTGTACAAGGGCAAGATCTTCCCTCTTTTATAGCTAAGGTCTACTTTCAGCTTTCCCGCATTGCTGTCCTTTGTTCTGTTATCTTGCTTGCTGTCCTTTGTTCTGTTATCTTGCAGTGATGGAATGTAGGTGGGAAGGCCCAAAGGGTGGGGTACAGGTGGGCCATAGGAGTAATCTGGGCAGGAAGGGCTTTTGGATTAGCATCTCCTTGTTTGCTGGGAGCTGTTTCATTAACATTTCCTTGGGATGGGCTCCATCTTCATCTTACTCAATATTAGACCCAATTTACCTAACTACACTAACTACCTATCTTTAAATCTGGCTTCAATTCTTGAGAAATGTTAAAAGTTGTCACCACAAAAATGATACCAAGGGCTGAAAAAGTAGCTCAATGATAGGCAGCTTACACAACATATGTGAAGCCTGAGTTTGCTCCTCATCACTACAAAAAACAAACATCAACAACAATAAATCTACATGAGATAATGCATATTTTAATCAGCCAGATTTAACCATATTACAATGTATATATACTTCAAAACATTATATTGTGGGGAAAGTGAAAGGAAAGTGACCACAACACTCGGAGCAACCAAAAGATCTTTATTGCAGCAGTGCAACAAAGAGAAAGGAAAGAAGGAAAGAGAGAGAGAAAAAAGAGAAGAGATGAACAGGGAGAGAGCAAGAGCAAGAGAGAGAGAGAGAGCGCGCGTAAGAAAGATAAAGAGCAAGAGAGAGAGAGCAAGAGAGAAAGAGCAAGAGAGAGAGGGAGAGAGAGGGGGGCCTGGCAGGAGGGAGTTTTTATAGCCCAAATCTAATGGGGCCTCTGGGTCTGCAAGCTGCCTTGTTGGCCCAAGGGGGGTTGAGTGCTCAGCCTTGAGCGGGACTTGACACAAACAGGTGATAAAGGACCAGATAGAGGGGGGGTTTGAGTGCGTGGGCTATCTTGCAGCCAACATCTGTTCAGCCTGCCCTGCAGACAACACAGTTCAGCCTGCTCTGCACCCAACAGAAAGGAAGAATATATTGTGCATGTGAGAGGAATCTAAATTTTTGTGGTCAAAGGACCAACCATGACATTGTATTTTTTGAAAACATTTGCCAGAATCTCTCCCACACCACAAGTGCTCATCGCCGCAGAGTGAATCCTTGGATCCATATTCCTTATCCTTGGATTTGGATGGCCATGTATTGTGATGAAAGTGAGATGCTGTGACTTCTGAGGCCATCCTTGCCTGGTTCTTTTGGGACACTTGTTCCTTGCTACCATGTCACAAGGAAAGCCACAGAGATCATAGAGAGACACTTGTTGAAAGAAACTGAGACTCTGGCCCCATCTGAACCTCCACCAATGAGCAGCCATAGTGAGGGACTTGAAAGTGGGTCACTGTGTTTGGAGAACATTCATCATAAAGCTGGGCAATTAGGATTTCCTGAGAATTGAAAAATCATTTGAAGACTCATCCAAAATGGCAAAAATGGGAACTTCTGGAAGCTGAGCAGAGTTGTCCCTGTCAAACCTTCCTAAACTGCAGAATTATGAGAAAAATGAATGATTTTGTTATTTCAAATCACTGTTTTGGAGGAATATTGGTCATGTAGCTAGGCAATTAGGATTTCCTGAGACCTGAAAGTTATTTGATGACTCATCAAAATGAAATGAAGGGAAAGAGAGAGAAAAGGAAAGAGAGAGGGTGAGAGAGATTTAATTAAATTGTGAGTTTCTTGGAACTAGAGACGGTGAGCCATTCATCTTAGGAGCTAGCACATTGTTGGTACAAGGAAAGATTGGATAAATGTTTGATGGATAAACAAATAATTGCAAGTGCTTCCTGAAGCCCTCCTACATGGAATAAAGAAAACAGAAGTGTCAAAACCACTTGTTCGACATTCTCAGTTAATTAGATGGAGTCAGATTTTCTGGGAGTGGGGGCAAAACATCAATGATTTTAGAAAGCTCCCTGAGTGATTTCATTGGCAGTTGAGCGGGAAAGTGACTCCTCTAGACTGGATGCTTGTCACAGTTATGTGCCATGACTCCTAGGCCCAAGATATTACATGTTTTCTTTAGTGTAAGATTTCAAAGAAGGGAGGAGGGAGACAGCATGAGACTACTTAAAATGTAATTATCTTTATTATATTATTTATTACAAATATATATTATATATATAATTATTTATATTAATTTATTATATTAATTCAACACATATGAACTGTCTACAAGGTTCCCAGGCATGCAGTAGGTGGTTTGAGGCATAGGGGGATGAATGGGGAGGACAAGCTAGAAAAATATTGAGACTAAGGTCTGTATACTGGTACTGAGGATGCCTGTTTTTGCTAAAAGGACATAACTCAGAATTCCCACTGAGTATGAAATATTGGCTGCTTCTTTGCAATCTTTGGTATACTTCATAGCCCTCAGGTGTTTGGTAACTCTTATCATCAGGCAACCACTTTGGAAAAACAACTAGTGTTTATTTTCTCAAAACCTTACAAGCCATCTTTCACTTCCAAGTAAAGTAAATGGTGTGTACTTGTGGTGTTACAGCTTCATGACAGCCACATATCCTCAGGCATTTCTCATTTTTGAAGAAAGTCTTGTTTTTAAATATGCTCTTCCATTGTTCCCATAAGTACATTGGAATT